CTTTGTAATATAACTCAAAGACTGGAGTTGTGATACCTCCAGCTTTGCTTTTCATTTTCAAAATTGTTTTGACTATTCAGGGCCTTTTGTGGTTCCGTATAAATTTTATGATTTTTTGTTCTAGTTCTGTGAAAAATAGTGTTGGTATTTGATAGGGATTGTATTAAATGTGTAGGTTGCTCTATTTGTTCTTCCAGTCCATGAGCGTGGAGTGTCTTTCCATTTCTTTGTGTCACCTTCAATTTCTTTCATCAGTGTTTAATAGTTTTCAGAGTACAGGGCTTTCACCTCTTTGGTTAAGTTTATTCCTAGGCATTTTATTATTTTGGTACAATTATAAGTGGGATTGCTTTCTTAATTTCTCTTTCTGCTGCTTCATTATTAGTGTATAGAAATGCAACATACTTCTATGCACTGATTTTGTATCCCAACGGGTCCCATTCTTAAGTTACCCTGTGGCCCTATGGGATTTCTGACACTAGAAAGGTAGCTCTGCTGCCATCAAAGCATTAATATTATTATTAGTTGAATAATAATTATAGCTATTTTTTGAACACTGATTTTGCCAGGCAGGATTAGTACTGGGCACTTTACATTGAGCAAAGCCTTATGAATGACACTTTCAGGGAAATATGCTTAGATTTCCACTTTATAGATGAAAACTAAAGACTCAGAGAGGTTCAGTAACATTGTTAGATGTGACCTTGGGCCCCGTGGTATAATAGAAAAAGAATGAATTGATGCCAGACAGATTTGGGTTCAAATCCTGGGCTTTATCTCCACTATGTACCTTGGACAAGTAATTTAACCTGTCTGAGCCTGTTTTCTCCTCTTACCATAGTTCTTCTTGTTAGTGAAGCCTTCCACAATGTTTCCCTGTGGCACTTTGTATGTGACCATGTCATTTAGCAGGCATCCCCACCAGAGTGTAAACTCTTGAAGGAAGAGGTCATGTTTTGTTCCCCTTTGAATTTCTAAGACCAAGAGTTGTACATATCAGGTGCTCTAAATGGCATGTGAATGAATAATGTGGGGCTTATGGTAATACCAATTAGGTTGATATGAAGGATAAATAACATATTGGAGCAGTAGGAAGTTTTAAGTTTGTGGTTGGACAGACTAAAATTCAAATTTCATCTTTGCCTCTCAGAAACTTAAGCAAGTTGCATTACATCTCAGAGTCTCAGATAAAACCTAAGATAATATTACCTACCATTCACAGTTGTAGTAAAAATGAATAACTCTCTCTCTCCCTCTCTAGATAGATAGATAGACACACACACACACACACACACACACACATCACTGGTAAGTAGGAATCACTAATCAATGTTAGCTTTTATTATTAGTGCATATGAATGTAGTTTGTATAGAGTGTTACACAAATACTCATTTAACAAACATTTATTGCCTACAATGCACCAGGTTTGGGGATATGATAGTGAACAAGATAAATGAGAACCATTCTCTCCTAGAATTTACACTCTGGGACTGGTACGGGGGGGGGTGCATTGGGGCACAGAGAATAATTCAGGTCTCAAGAGTGAGCCATCATTACCACCTATTCACACCATTGACAGTTGGTCAACACTGAATATTTTTCATGCTGAGCTTTTATGGTCTTGGCTACAGGGTGAAGGATTTAAGTCCAGTATGTTAAAGCCTACTCTTCTAGATCCTTGAGGGCAAGCACCAGGCATACTCCTTTTGTACTCCATAATGCCTGGCAGGGTGCCTGGGCCTGAATAAATGTTTGGAATACCTTTGAACAGCTAAGTTTCCCTTCTTGAGGCCCCACAACATGATGTAGCGCCACAGTTCTGGGTGTGAACACAAAAGCATTTTTCTTAAAGTGAGGGTAAGGTCATAGCTTATAATTACTTTTGGCTGAATCATAATAATAATCATAATCATAACTCTTTATTGTGAACTCATTATGGTCCAGGCACTGGCTGGGCAATTTGCACGTGCTATCTTGATGACGCTACCACCACTCTCAGGTACTATTTCTCCTTAAATTTACCCATAAGGAAATTGAAGCTCTCATTGTGTCCGTGTAACTTGACACACAGGCAAGAAGTGACTGTAGGCAGCAGGATAGCATAATAGGTGCTCAGCAGATGGTAGCAATTGTGGTGAATAGTGAATCTGGGTCTATTTGAGAGACTAAGACAGCTAAGAATCCCAAGGGCTTACCCAGTTCCAGCAGGTGAGTCAAAGGTCTTGTACATCTATGCTGTATTTTCAAGGGATATAGTTTATTCTGCATTCTATGAACAACATAGAGTTTTGGGCCCAATTAAGTAGAACATAGTTAAGTGCTTAGTTTGCTCCGAAAACTATTTCATTTTCACTGAGGACATTTAACAAGCAACTTGGTAATATTAAAGAACCAGAACTAGAGATGTCAGACAGACTAGGAAGAGAGAGAAAACAACCATTTGTAAAATTAAAAAATGCTTCTATTCATTATTATCTGGAATCTATAACTATTGGAGCTCCTAAAAATAACAAAACAGTTCAAAATTTGGGCAGAATAACAGAACAATAATTAGAATAAATAGCACTGAGCATTTGTAAGGCAAAATAGCTTCATTAGTATATTTCTATGATGGATGGAAAGAATTGTGAGCTGGCATGTGCTGCAATTTGATTATGTAATATAATGCAAATGGATTTTATTTTTACGTATTATGACACAATTCTGGACTAGCATAGCAGTCAGGGTTCTCCAAAGAAACAGAACCAGTGGGATGTGTACACACACACACACACACACACATACACAGATTTATTTTAAGGAATTGGGTCATGTGATTGTGGGGGCTGGAAAATTTGAAATTTGTGGGGCCAGCCAGCAGTCTGGAAATTCTGGCAGGTGTTAATGCTACAGTCGTGAATCCAAAGGCAATCTGGAGGCACAATTCCTCTCTCCTCAGAGGACTTCAGGTCTTTAATGGATTAGATGAGTCCCAGCCACATTATGGAGGACAATCTGCTTCAATTCAAAGTCTACCAGTTTCAATGTTAATGATATTTTTTCAAACATACCTTCACAGCAACGTCTAGACTGGTGTTTGATTAAGCAACTGGGCACTATAGCCTAGCCAACTTGACACATAAACTTAACCTTCACAACCAGTGTATTCAAGCAGGCTGGGAGGAGTACACCTGGACTAAATGGGCAGGAATAATAGGAAGAGACCATTTATAGCACAAGTAGATTAAGTGAAGGACAGCAAGGGGCCTGGGTGTAACAGTTGTTGCTTTTAAAATTTGTTGTTTTAAAACGTCATGGCATTTAGCTTATTTAAATAAGAAATAATTGGTAAGTGGCAAATTTCCCTTGATTTCAGAGATATTATTAAAATAAGGCATTCCAGGACCTCTGAGATTGACGAATCAAAGGCTTCTATGGCGCTGATGACAGGGAGGAGGCTCGAGTGAAAATAACCCCAGTTCCCTGCGTGTGCCACAGCTGGGTGCTTCAGGGGGAAGCCAGCTTTACGCGTGACTGAGCTGCTGTGGGGCCCTCTTTCTAGTTGTCAAGGCGAAGGTTTAGCATCTTCTTTCAACATCCTGGTACTCCAAAGAAGAAATCGAGATGATTCACTAAAGGATCAGAGAGCAAGTAATTCAAAACAGAACACCAAACTGAAGTATAAAAAAGAAATATTTATCTTTGAAAAATACAACTTTGAACACACTACGGACATCTCATTTACAAAGTATTTTCCTGAAACACTCTTCATTGGCTTTGCTTACTTAGTACATTCTTTTATTCTGAATCAAGACTCAAGGGAGGGCATGCTTGTGTTACTACAAGCACCAGCAACACCACAGAAGAAAAGATCATCTGTGCCTCAGGATATTAGCCCCAAATCCTCACCCTTTCTCTTTCGTTTCCATCAAGCAGGACTTCCTGACTGGTCCACGTACACTCTGCCATTGCAACCTGCTGGGTGGGCACCGTAGAACTGGAGGTGCCCCCGGCCATCGGCGCTCCAGGCGGAGCTGAGCTATTTGCAGGAAGCCTCACAAACCCGGGCTCATTCATTACCAGGAGTTTTCTACTAATACTCGTATCAACTGTTTGCAAACATTCAGCTTGAAGTGAACATAGTATTTACAGTAGTACACGGTTTGCAATTCAACACGCTGATGGCAGAAGAAAAGGGACCAACAGACTTTGTAAGAAGGCCAGAGGGAAGGCATATTAGAACGAATCCCTTCTGCTAACGTGTGTGTACGTGCATGTGCACATGCGCACACGTGTGTTTTAATTCATAGAAAACTAAACATGCCCTCCTTTAAAAGCAGACTATTTACAAGGTGATTCTGAATAGCACATACACATGCCAGTCATACTGGACACTTGCCTTCTGAGAATACATCTAGATGTTTTTAATCTGATATATTAGAGAAAATAACTTCGGAACATTTGTCAACTTTTGGTTCACAGTAATCTTGCAAAAAGCCACAAACCATGCTTTGTCTTTTAAAAGGGGAGAGCCTGGTCAGGCGCCTTCTAGAAGACGCTGTGTTATTCATTTACTGGCTTACTGGGGGTTGGAAAGACTGTGTCAGTTCACATTAATGTGAAGAGAAGTTTTGAAACACAAATCACATACAAATCATCAAAACATTTCAATTAACAGTGTTTAAAAAAATACCAAACTCTACGACAGTAGTACAGACACTGAAAACACCCCAAATACTCTTTAGCCTCAGGCCTTTTTCAATATCACTAATAAGAGAGACAAGCCACTGACAGAAAGGGAGCAAGTTACAGCGCTTGAGGGTCTGAGTCTGTGTCTTTTTAGGGCCTGTAGCTCGAGGTGCTGCTCTAGGATCCTTATTTTAACTCAAAAGATATTCCGGGAACGACCTGGCAAATTTAAAGCACTTCCCACTTGAAAACCATTGAGAATACAAATCGCTTTCTCGGCGTGTCCACCGCACATTTCTCTGCAGGAGCCCAGGCTGTGAGGCCGCAGCATTCAGGTCAGTTTCAGGCCCTCGAAGCCGCAGAACTTCCACCTCTTCTCCAGACTGGCTCCGACCCCGGTCATTTCCTGCCTGAAGGTGTGCTGCAGCCGGCCCATGAGACACTCCACATCGCTGGTGCAGATCTGCGGGCCAGAGAGAGGAGCTCCACTCAGAAGCAGTTCTACCCTGCAGACGAGTCCCCTGGGCTTCCCTTGTACGGGTTTTGTAATTGCTGTATGTAGGTAATAATTTACTTACAACAAATTCACCTACTCTATGTGTAGAGTTTAATGAATTTTAGTACATTTATACAGTTGGGCAACTCTCACTATTTAGTTTTAGAACATTCCATCAACCACAGAAGGTTCCTTCACGCCCCTTTGTAGTCAATCGTTCCTCCCAATCCCTGACTCCGATTTTTTTGCTGTGGTTTTGAATTTTCTGGAAATTTTATATATGTGCAATCATACGATATATATAGTCTTTTGTGACTAGTTTCTTTCACTTAGCATGACGTTTTGGGGATTGATCACCACTGAGCTTTCTAATGAAAAGAGCTAGTGTCAGTTGTGTGGACAGGCTTGGGTTCATAGCCAGCTGAATGACAGCTGGTCGGTGCCACTGCGCCAGTGCACAGGCCTACTGAAGCTGCAAAGCCTTTTGGGAGGGGAGGGAGGCAGGGCAGAACTCTTCATACATGTGTTGCTTTACAAAGGAAAAATGACAGAAATAAGGAATGCCCTGTATTTCTACTTCTGTGCATCGTCTCCCTCTCCCCATTTCACACACACACACAGACACACCCCCCAACATAAAAACAAAAATCTGTGGACCCCTTTAGGACTTGTTTCAGGTGGTCATCTTGACATGAGTAGCAACCTTCCTAACTGTGAACCTGGGGACTAGCGCTCAACTGAGGAGCACTAGGGGATCCTGAGAGAAACCCTCAGTTGCCGCCACACTGAATGTTCCTGAAGCTGGAGGGAGGGACCCCTCCGCCAATTCTGTTGGCATCATTGCAGGCTCTCTTTGGGAGGCCCTGTCACTACTCTGGCAGGAAGCTGCTCAGGACAAAATGGGCTGAGAGTAGGAGTGAGGTCATGCTTTCTTCCTACTGCTAGTAGTAGATGGTAGCCAGTTAAGTAAAAGACGCACATTGCAGGGTATCATATAGAGTTGAATTCCATTCTAAAAACCATAAATAGGGCGCCTGGGTGGCTCAGTTGGTTAAGCGACTGCCTTCGGCTCAGGTCATGATCCTGGAGTCCCTGGATCGAGTCCCGCATCAGGCTCCCTGCTCGACAGGGAGTCTGCTTCTCCCTTGACCCTCCCCCCTCTCATGTGCTCTCTCTCTCGTTCTCTCTCTCTCTCTCAAATAAATAAATAAAATCTTTAAAAAAAAATAAAAACCATAAATATACAATGTTTACAGATGTATACATATAATATAGGTGCAGCATATGTATGGAAAATGGTCTGAAAGAAGATATGCCAAACTGTTAACAGTGATGATCCTGGAAGGGTGGGGCTGGGTCACTTTCACTTTCCCTTCACTGTCTTTCTATCTTGCTTACATTTTTAACATAAAATGTATGTATTTTTTTTTTACAATTTTTGAAAAAAGGGCCAGATCATTTTTACTGACACAAAGTCCAGTTTTATACCACTTCAACCTACCACTTGGTCCTGCTGCTCACATTCGATCCCTCCCTTTGCTGCCAAATGGGCTCTTTAATTGCGGAATGGTATCACTTTCAGAGCTCAATGAGAGGGGCGTGCTGGCTCGAACTAAAACAAATGCCATGAGAAGGATGTCTCACCGCAGCCGGATGCCCACATGGGCAAGTGCCTCTGTTAAGAGGACATATGCTTAAATGGCTTAACATTTTGGACATCCAACTATCAGGAATCTGCATTTCAGTGGCCACGTCTCAAGAGCCCCAGGTCCTGTGAAATAGTGAATACAATCCACAAGCACATGTAACTGAATGCAGCTTCTGAAATAAATCTATCCTGAGTTTATTTACTCTGAGGAGTCAAGAGTCCCCTCCTGCTTCTTTGAGGCATCCTTGACTTTCTAGGGAACTAATACTTACTCTTGCCCCTGAGGCTTTGTGAGGTCCCTCATAGAACAGCATCCCAGGAAGGAAGTGATGCATGAGATCAGCTGGGAGCAGAAGTTGAGTCCATGTCACAGACTTACTGTTTCCTCTGTTTTGTTTTTGCTCTTGCCTTGATCATTTCAACATAGGTAATGGCAGTGGTGACAGTGATGGCTGGAGTAAGACTTCCAGTTTTGAACATTAACGTTTGCTAATGGCTAAAGGCCCGGTACAAAAGTATGACTGGTGAGAGATAGTGGGTCATTTACAGCTTAGATAGAAATTAAAAGAAAGGAGGAAAATTCTTCTCAGACGTATCTTGGAAGGAGGGTGGCCAACTCATTCAGGTTTGCCCAAAACTTCCTGGTTCTGGCACTGGAAGTCGCGAGTCCTAGGAAACCCCTCAGTACCAGGCAAACGGAAGCGGACGGTCATCCTACTTGCAAGAGAGAAGCTCTGCACTGCATTGCAGTGAGACTAGGTGAGGGAAATTTCCTTAGAGCGATTACTAACGACTTACTTATGCTTGAAGAAAGTACCCTCCGTCCCTTTGCATGCCCGTTTCAGCACCCCACGTACCTTATTATCTAGACGGTGCAAGTAGGAACAGATGTATTCAATGCTTGCTCCAAATGGGTGGACATGAAGAAATGTGGAAATAATCCCTACAGTGACAATACGATGGAGGTTACACTCGAGCATTATATTCTTTGAAATGAGAGCTAACTTACATGTACCACATACTACATACTGGGCACTATTCTAAGTTTATATACATTTTATTCATTTAATCTGTAAAACAACCCACTGCATATACTGCCTCTCACTACACTGTACCCCATATAGAAACACTGGCATTGGAGGAGTCACTCCCATCATTTATGATGACTAAAGACCATTTGAGTTCTACATTTCACAGTGAATTTAGAATTTTATAATGAATTTGGATCGTGCTGGCCTTTTGCAGTTCTTCTGCACAGTCTTTAAATTGGACGTGAGCTTCTTATGCATTAATAATGTCTTGCTGTTGTGGTAAAAGTACAAATCAGGTACTTTGCCTGATTCACTTCATGCCTCTCACAAGAGAATCTGCTGATTATATTTGGTTTTACTCTGTGAGTAGCTCTGTAAAGAAAAGCCAAACATTTCACTCACTCAAGTGGTCACTAGCATTTGTTTGTGCTTAGAGCTCTAAATCTCTTCAAGTAACACATTTTTTTATAGAAGTTTACAGCCTCTGGGAATGGGCACAATTTTTACTCAGTTTAACTATGGGGTGATTGGCAGCTATACATACTGCCTTGATTGTTCTGGACATCAGGTTAATTGTTCTAATACTTCTTTCTCTGGCAACAGGTAGATCTTAAATTGTTCAAAGGCCTACTATTTCTTTCTTTAGATTTTTTTTTTTGAATTCCTCCCCTTTCATAAGATCTTAAGTACATCAAATAGACCCAGAATTGAATTTGCCGAGAACTGCCAGGAAATAAAAGCTAAATTTGATTTGGTTTATAGACTACAACTTGTCTATTCCTTCAAGTGACTGATAAAGAATATCACAAGTTTGAGTTGTAGCTTGAAGTTCAAATCAGTTCTTTGTGAAAATCCTCCAAATATCAGAGGGCAAGGAGGTGGGCTGGGGGATCTGGGAGGAGCTGATGGTAGCGTTCAAAGTCTGTTCGAAATGGATGCTATTACTTATAACACTATGTGATTCTTAAATGACGAAGTAAATTGAATTGCTATACACTGACTCAAGCTGAGAAACTTAAATTCTAAAGAAGACAGTTCATGTCCAAAGGAATTCTAGGTGCTACGGCCAAGATAGGCTATCTGTCAAATGCCGAGAAATAAATCCTTAGGTTTCAAAACACTAAGCAGTTTCTGTGGGTTCATACCCGAAGAACCAATTTAAAAAATAGATTTTCCTTTCTCTCTGTCATTCTCTCTGTCACTACATTCTTTAAAAACAAAACAAGAAACACTTATCTTAAGAATCTTTGTTTCTAGAACTACCCATTCACAGAGGCTTCCTTCTACCCCCAGCTCTTCTCTGACAGGTCTCCCTGTTGCCATGCCAATTTGTTAAAGAACTTTGAGTTGTAAAATGGAAATAAGTTGTCACTTTTCTTTAAGACTCAATGGCAGATCCTCTTGTGTATCTTTATTAACATATCAAAGTGTTAAATCTGACTACAATATCCATTACCAAAGAAGGCAGATAAATCTTCAAAATATGCAGAAGCCAATCAGTGTGGAGAACTTCTGAGATTGGGGTGGGGCTGCTGTGGGGTTCAGCTTCCTAGAAGGCAGCTGGGATTATCTGTTGAGGTCCAGTATCAGCCCCTTGGAAATGACTGAATATTTTAGGACCTCAATCTGCCACTGTTCTCCAAATGGAATATCAAGTCAACAAACATTTGTGCAGAATACTGTAAGTGCAAAACAGTTCTCATTTTACTGAGGGCTTCCTATGGGTTGCACACTGTGCTAAGGGATTCAGATGAATTATCTTATTTAATACTTGCAGCTGCCCTTTGAGACAGGTAATATCATTCTGCCCATTGTGCAGATGGAGGAACTGAAGCTCAGGAAGGAAATAGTAGGGTCAAACGGGAAACCAGTTCTGTCTGACTCCTCAACCATGTGTTCTATCTTGTCTCTGTGGATGATTTTTATATATTGAGAGCAATTCTAGCATTTATCTCATCTAAGTCCACCAGTGTCACACACCACAGACAGCCTCCTGAGTTACTGCCAGCAACCTGGAAAAAAATTTCAGAGAGGCAGACACTTCCTCCAGAGGCTCATCTGGGAAAGCTCTCTGCCAAACAGTATCCTCACTATAACCTTGAGTGGGAGTGAGAGGGCTCCACTATCCTCACATAGAGTTTTAAAAAATGTACAACGTATTTCTCCAGCAGACCCTCTCCTGTGCTTACAACCACACATTTGATGTGGCAGCAACCATAGGAGCTAGAGGAGAATTGGGAGCTGCTGTTACCATTTCTGTGAAGTCTATACTTATTCATGCATTGTCATGCTTCATAAATGCCTGGCGGGTATATTCATCTTAGGTGAAACTCTTCCCCCCTCCACCATAGTCAATATATTATATGTGTGTGTTCCTTACCCACGAGCAGTGCTTCACGTTCAGATTTGATAGGACTGCTGTTCAGGGTCTTCTCAAGAGGATAGTCACTGTCCTGGCTCGATGTACACAGTCTAGTAGCACAGCTTTCCTGTGGGAAAAATATGCTTCCTGGGTCAGTTCACCTTACTGCATAACAGACTTGGATTCGAGTACGCAACAGGGAACTTTTTAACGTAGTACCCCAAAAGCAATAGCGTACAATTTTGATGACTGAATGGGAGAGAAAATAGCATTAATTTATGCAAAAACATCACAGATCATCCCAAACTTCCTTATATGGCTCCAAAACACAGAAAAATTTAGACATTCATCTTTGCCAGGTTTCCCCCCCCCCCCCACCTTCATCATTCTTGACTCTATAGAGGTAATCTGGGGAACCAGACCCAACATTTACTGCCTACTAGGTGCCAGGCACTGTTAGGTATGTGTTATCTCCATTCTACAAATGAGGAAAGTGAGGCTCAGGTAAATTAGGTAAATTGCCTTAGATCACATTTCTAGGACGTGGTAGAGCCTAGATTTCACGCCAGGTCATCCACTGCCAAAAGGATTGTTCTTTTCAATTTTAGGTCCACACTCTGCTAAAGGCAGGTCCCATCTCTGAGTGCAGAATCTACAATGTAGCTAATCTACTCCCAAACTCCCAAATAATCAACTGTTGGCTTTTGAACTAAAAATTAGAGCTTCCAATTATTGACTATCAGCTCTTTCTTCTCCCTGATAAGGACATTATCAGTTAGGATATTCCTGACTTCATATCAAGAAATGACCATGACCGGGCGCCTGGGTGGCTCAGTTGGTTAAGCGACTGCCTTCGGCTCAGGTCATGATCCTGGAGTCCCGGGATCGAGTCCCACATCGGGCTCCCTGCTCAGCAGGGAGTCTGCTTCTCCCTCTGACCCTCTTCCCTCTCGTGCTCTCTATCTCTCATTCTCTCTAATAAATAAATAAAATCTTTAAAAAAAAAAAAAAGAAATGACCATGACCAAAATATTACTCAGTGGCCTTCTTTGTTGTTGAAAGTTCTCTCTTTCTGAGTATAGCAGGTATGTTTCGTAAGAGACACTCAGGGGAAATTCATGACCAGCAATCAAACTGAAAAATACATCCAGGCCTTCCATGGATCTTTCTTTCTCTCTTTGGGCACTGAGAACATCTTTTCTGTATTACAAATGTGAAGGAAGAGTCTTGAAAAGAAGGAATAAAAGGAATCATTGCTTCCAGTCTTACTGCTATTAGAAAAGAAAATGCTGGGGAAATGCTCCTGGCAGGGGCATCTCATGGCTGATTCAAATGCTTTGTCACTCTTCCCTTCTGCAAGCCCTCAGCACAGACAGGTGTCCTGTTTTCTTTAAAGATGACTTTAAAGCTTCCAGGATGTTGCCCTGAATGAAATGAATGGTCTATCCTGCAAGACATGTTGTTTTGTGGATTTACAGGCATCCTGGCTATAGTCAGAAGGGAAGCCTTTCTTGATGACCTACTCAATCTTTGGCCTTTAGAATCCAATTCAGGCAGTAACCATCATGCCAAGTTTGATTCAAAATACTGGCTCACTTCTAAGCCATGGGTTGTAGATCTCCTTCTAATGCCCTTAAAACATTAAATGATCCAGTAAGCCATTTCTTAAGTGCGAGAATTTAACAGATTGGGGTTGACTCAAAATGGAAAGGCATCCTGAGAAGTTTTAGCCATCTTGAATAGAAATGTAGCCTTACTGAAACCTGACTTCAGTTTTATTATAGCTGGCATTTAAAAAATTAGAAGGCATATTGAAGAGATGTTTATCACCTTGAATTTTACTGGCAGATTCAAAGAGCCAGCTCTTTCTGCAGTAAGACAGACAGAAGTCACATTGTTATATTGCAAAACACTGACAATAACTCACACTACAGTTTACTGTCAAGAAACCCAAACAAAAACAAAAGAGATCTCTCCTCACCAAAACTTATTGCCTTCCTTTCAACCTGGAATTATTTTTGCAGTCTAACATAATGGTACTTTGCTTCCTAACCTAATTGTGTCAGGCTGAAATATTCGGTCACAAATCAGATTCCGAGAGAATATCAGTTTATAATGAACTGTCATGACTTTTTCTGAAAGAAGCTTTGCTTACAGTTACAGGAAAAAAACATTCTGACTCACATTTTCCCGATTATCAGTTGGCTCTCCTTCCTTATCCTCTTTAGCTGCCACTTCATGGTATATTCAGGTTCAGCATGAAAAACTGACTAAGGCACAATACATTAAGTTTCTTCTGTGCCATTTGATCTCTTGCTTCTTTCAATGAAATTTAAAGTGCCAAAAATGCCCTTACACTAAAAATGCCCTTAAATTAATTTGTGATGTCAATCCTAAAGAACGAATCTAAGCATAACGTCATTAGCATAACCTCATGTCTATTGCATTTTACGCAAGAAGCAAAACAGCTATGTAGCAGCTCTGAGACATTTTAGCAGCTCTGAAAGTATAGGGAAATTCCTACTACACAGAGCAGCTTTGGCACTTTTCAATTAAATGCTTGATAAATGAATTTCTCTGGGATTGTGCTCATTTCTTTAAAAGCACCCACAAAAGTGGAAAGTGAGCTGGTTTTATGAAGTGGAAGAATTAAAAGCATATTGCAAATGGCCTCCAGAAGAAAACACTTTCAATCATTTGTTTCAACTACACCAAGGCTGCCAGTTCTTAATGGCACTCTGGGGGAAGTCACTATGCTGGCAAACATACCCAGGGCCTGTATGCATTGCATCTTCCTGAGCTGAGTGCCAGAGATAAAGAGCCCAAGCTCTTGTCTAACGATAGCATTGTTGATTTCTGGCTCTTGGTCTGAGCTCCTAATCTCTTCCTTCTGAGACATTAAAATCAGGCACTTACAGTCAATGGGTCTTCCTTTTCAGAGGATTGCTTCAGTTGAATGTTCAGGCATACAGACGATTAGGGAGGTACGGCTGGGAGACACCACGGGTAGACTTTACATACCTTAAGTAGACTGGGCACCTGATTCATGCTTGTGACTCATTAACCTATCCAGATTAGGAGACTCCCTAAGAGGCCCTCACTGGTGGCTCTTATTGCTGCAAAGTCCCATCTTGCCCTTCCATGCTGCAATCTTCAAGCCTTAGAATATTCTTTCTTTTTATTTACTTTCCACATGTTTTCTCCCCTTTGGGTTTTGACTATTTCACCTGCAGCTGCTCATTATTACACTAGATGGAGTGTCTGCAAAGAAAAGCCCATGTTCTGGTTGTACTTGTGTTTCTTCCTTTAATGAAACACTTTATTAAGGGTACTCTGTGTCACCCGCATTTTCTCTCTATTTTTTTCACCTGCATTTTCTATGTTGCTATTTGCTTGGCAAGATGAAGCAGGAATGAGGTGTACACGCTGGTCTTCTCCAAGAGGGAAAGACTGAGGAATTTTAGGGATGGACTAACTTTGTATTCATTGAAAAGTACACTCTCCAGAATCCTTAGATATGCCAAGGATTCACAACTAAAGGCAGAGCCCCTGATTCAAGAATTACCCCAGAGAAGGGGCTTTTAATCCCCATTCAGCCAAGCATTCCACAGTGATTCCTACTGCAGGAACTTGCAGGGCATTTTTCACTGCCACTGCAAAGGGTGGGGGGAAGGGCAAGGGTTCACAGAGGACTGATATACCTTTTCTTTAAGATTTTCCAACATTTTTTCCACCTGCAACTTGTCATCCTTGACTTTTTCAAGTTCAGCTTCTTTCCTTTTGTATTCCTCTTGGACTTTGAGTAGATGCTACAAGACAGACCAAAGACAATCAAGTCTTGAGGAGCCACAATTCATTTAAAAACCCTGGCTGAATTTGGACAGTAGGCTGGCCTGCCTCACTTTCTCCCAGCCTACACAATCATTTCTCCGTGCAGAGATACCAAAGGGAAAATCAAGGTACTTTTTCACTTAAAGTTATTTTATCTAGTTCTTAAGAACTTCCTTAGGATTTGTTCATATTTTAGAAAGCATCTGAGAAATTAACTGATCTAATCACTTAACTTTTCTATTCCAGCCAGGGGTAAGGATAGGGTATAGTGCTAATCCCATGTGGACAATATCTTGATTGCTGCATAGAACTTAATGTTATAAAGCATTCTTTCAAATAGCCGTTTTCCAAGCCAAGTTCAATTTCTGTGAGGAAAACATTTTACAAATGTTTGTTTCCACATCAGTAGGCAAGGAACTGGATTCATCATCATTAACGATTACAAAAATATTACTTATTTAGCATCTAACATGTGTCACACATTGTGGATAAGGTTTCATATGTGTGATCTCATATAAACCTCAAGTAACCCTATGCATAATCCTGAGGCTTACAGAGGTTTAGTGCTTTGCCTTAGGTCATTCAGATAGTAAGTGGCAGAGTAGGGATTTAAACCCAGGTTGGGTCAACACCACAGTCCATGCACTTAACCACTGTTAGACTATACTTCTTTTTGGGAGAAGATGGGAGACCCTTTATCTTGTTTACAAGGCTATTTTCCAATAAAAAGTAATCAAAAGGAGCAAAATTAATTTGTCAGGATGTAGAGACCTAATTTTCTCAGAAGTCTCTGAAGTGATGAAATGAAGAAAAAAAAAGTTCATCATCTTTAAATTGTATTTCAGTAGCAGAACTGTCCTTCTGTGGAATGGTTTAAAAATCAAGGTAAGAGAGAAAAGCAACAAAAAATGTTTCCAAAGTTTTGCTTTTCAGAGGCTTGCAAAAGACCACTGGAAGAGCTAAAAGACACACAATACAATATATGTTGTCAAAATTCTTTGAAGTCTAGCTGAAGAGATACATTTTTTTGGTGGAAAGATCTCAGATATAATTTACATGTTCTAATTAAATTCCATAGTGACAGTAAAAGGAAGGTAAGCATTACTTCACACATTTTGCTAATAGGAAAGGTGAAATATCGATGTGATATTGCTTGTCACACAGAAAGACAGTGGTAGCAGAAGTAATAGGAACACAGGGCTCTTAGTGCCAGAAGAGACTCCTTGTTCACAATTTGTGATTTATGGCCAACAATAAGCTTTGCCCTAGATAATTTCAAGGCATACAATTAAAAAAATTATTGCTCAATTTAAATTATAAGGAAAATGGCTGGTCATCTGGCAAGATAGAAGAGGATAGTACCCTTACTCAAAAATACTACTCCTTTATTATGATGAAACAGATGGTGATATCTTTTTCTTTTAAATTGTAGGCTCACTGTGGTGATGGTTACATAAAACATCTAGACATTGAACATCTCATACACACTGTTGTATTTGAATGCAATTACAGTTGGATGCACCTATTTACTTTACTTTTTATACTTGGAATAATGTGCAGGTAAACTCATTCACATAAATGACTGTGAAAACAAAACAAAATAAAAGCAAATTGATATTATGTGCCCAAAGCATTGATACTGAAAAAGCCAGGGTAGGATTCCTGCCATTTCTCCTAACAGGCTGTATGGTCCAGCACTGGATCAAGTAGATACTACTTTTTCATATCTAAGTAAGAAGTGAGGTTCTTCATAAAGTCCCCGAGGCCCTGTCCAGATCCCAAAGCACCTTCTGAAGCAGAAAGAAAAGATTAGATTATGTTCGGTGTAGTTTTACTGTCAAGTATTTTTCACTGAATGTACATCCTTTGAAAACTGCTACCTCTGTACTGGCCAGAATATTTCATTAACCATAACATAATTCCTTCCTAGTCTATGCCAGAGGACAGAATATCAAGAAAATAAGAGGTTTGCTATTCTCTTTGCTGGCATGGGACCTTTTTCCAGTTGAGGAGCTGATGCTAGCTTTCCTAAAAGCTCAGAAAACCAAAGGGCCTTTACCTGTTGCATTCCTTGCAGGGCTTGCTGCAGGAGTTTCAGCTGCTGTTCCTTGTTTGGGTCGTCTTCTCTGGGGGCTTTGCCTTGTTCTTGCTTGAGCAATTCTACCTCATTCCGATAGGCATCGAGCTGCCAACGGAGGCTGTCATTTTCTTCCTTCAGAGCTTCTGCCTGTGATACTAAGGCTAAGCAATCAATATAAAGTCAAACATCCATCTATCCATACTCTTTGTGGTTCACCTTAGTATCATGAAAACTTGGTAGTTTTTAATTGACATGTATAGAAAGTCTCTTGAGCAACTTTAGGTTTGAGGTGGCCATGGCAGCAAGAGATGGACACAAAAGCACACAGAACCATTTGTGTAAAGGAACGCAGGATTCCAACACCCTGAAGTCATCATCACGCTTCATATCTGTCACCCCAAATATAACTCAGATATTCCCAGCTAACATTGGTCACTTTTATTTGGAAGGCAGCAAATGATAAGAGCTCTGTAATGATAAAGTGTAGGGCTAATTGTCTTGAACTGACGACTGTCCACACGATAATTGTGCAGGGCAGTTGTTTTTAAAAATGTAACGTTTACTGTCCTACAGAGGAAAGGTAAATGTAAAAATTAAGACACAAGACTTCTGGTTTCTGGTCTAGTGTGTAAGGAGTTTAGAAGTCACCACTCCATCCTAACAACAAATAAAAAGCTGAATAAACTGAAAAAATCAACAACTCATCTTAGATCCATAAGAGAAGTGAGGTCACAGGGCAAACTGCTGCCCCTGAAACTGGAGAGACAGGAGAATGCAGAGAATCACAACTTACCAGACCAGAAACCTATGAGCAGTAAGCTCCACAGGAACTGGTGGCAAGTAAAAAAATCTAAATTGTAATTGGCTAATTGCTGGAGGCTCAGTGTGGACAAGTCTGAGATTTAAAAAGTACAGAGGGACCCACTCATAGTGAAGTCTCTATCCTTTGTGCGTTTTATCTCTAGGAGCACAACCGTGTCCTTACAGTGAATATTGGAGAAAAATCCCCTTGTGCTTCCATCATGGGGAGGGGAAAAGAAACCATTTTGAAATACACCAGAGCACTCTGTTCTTCTCAACAAGGCCTGCCATCAGAAGACACTATTTTACCAGAGCCTAACCTGCTAGGGTATTACCAGAGTCTAATTGACCTGGAGAAGGGAAATACCCAAGTATAGCTCCCCCCAGCCATCCTGCCCCAAGTAAGTTTTTTCTCAGAAAAAACTGAGAAACACTTGTGAAATCACAGTCCAGAGGTAAATGCTCACTAAAAGACTGAGACCTAATCACAGGACTAGAGAATGCTCCCCCACACTTAACTACCACACCACTGAAGTCCTGTTTACTGGAGTTCTTTTCACCCAGCACATCATGTCCAGATTTCAACAAAAGATTACAAGGCGTACTAAAAGGTAAACAAACAAACACAGTTTAAAGAGACTGAATGGGGATCAGAACAAGAGTCAGATATGGCATGAATGTTGGAATTATCAGACCAGGAATATAAAACAGCTGTGATTAGTATGCTAAGAGCTTTAATGGGAAAAGTAGATACCATGAAAGAACAGATGAATAAACAGAGAGATGGAAGTTCTAAGGAAGAATCAAATAGATATGCCAGAGATAAAAAATACTACTGTAACAGAACTGAAAAATGCCTTGGATGGGCTTATTAAAAGACTTGACATGGCTGAGAGAAGAATCTCTGAGCTTGAGGGTATGACAATAGAAACTGCCTAACCTGAAAAGCAAAGACAAAAAAGCATAAAAAAAAACCCCAAGCAGAATATCCAAGAACTATGGGACAACCACAAAAGATACATGTCATAAGAATATTAGAACGGAAAGAAAGAGAGAAAGGAACAGAAGCAATAGGTGAAGCAACAATGGCTGAACTTTCCCCCCAAATTATTATCAGACACCAAACCACAGATCCAGGAAGTTTAGAGAAATCAAACAGGATAAATGCCAAAAAATTAGACCTGAAAAGACACCTCACCAAAGATATATCAATGGCAAGTAAGCATCATCATATGTCATACATCATTAGGGAATTACAAATTAAAAGACAATGAGATACCACTACACACCTATTAGAATGGCCAAAATCCAAAACAATGACAACACCAAGTGCTGGCAAGGACGTGGAGCAAACAGAAATTCTCCTTCATTGCTGGTGGGAATGCAAAATGTTACTGGCACTTTGGAAGATACTATGGCAATTTCTTATAAAACTAAACATACTCTTACCATATAATCCAGCAATCATGCTCCCTCATATTTACCCAAGTGAACTGAAAACTTATGTCCCCACAAAAATATGCACACGGATTTTATAGCAGATTTCTTCTGCCAATTTTATAATTGCCCCAACTTGGAAACAACTACAATGTTCTTTAGTAGATTAATGGGTAAATAAACTGTGGTACATCCAGAAATGGAATATTATTCAGTGCTAAAAAGGAATGAGTGATCAAGCCATGGAAAGACCTGGAGGAAATGTAAATGCATATTACTAAGTGAAAGAAGGTAACTGAAAAGGCTACATAACTGTATGATTCCAACTATAGGGCATTCTGAAAAGGCAAAACAATGGAGTCAGTAAAAATATAAAAAAAAAAAACAACAACCCTAACCTGGTTGCCAGGGGTTAGGAGGGAGGGAAGAATGAATAGGCAGAGCACAGAGGATTTTTAGGGCAGTGGAACTATTCTGTATGATACTATAATGGTAGATACATACATTTTAAACATTTGTCCAAACTCACAGAATGTACACCAAGAGTGAACTCTAATGAAAACTATGAACTTTGGGTGATAATGATGTATTCGCTGATTATAAACAACGTACCCCTGTGGTGCAGGATGTCAGTAGTGGTGGGGGACTTTATATGTGTGTGGAGACAGGGGTACTTGGAAACTCTTTACTTCTTGTTCAATATTGTTGTAAATCTAAGACTTCTCTAAAAAATTAATTTATTAATTAAAAAACTCCCTAAGACACAAGAGGAAAACTTGGTTAGCTTTATTTATGGTTATGGCACATTTTTCAAGGCCAAAAATCAGAAAAGCTATTATAAAATATTTAATCAGAGGATTTTCATTCATTCAACAAACACTGAGTACCTTCCCTGTACCAGGCTTATGATAATGGTAAAAAATGAGATTCCACTAATCTCTGTGGTTCACAGTCCAAATTAATGGAAACATTTGTAGTTTATTCCTTTTTTGATTCCTAACACAGCATAAAGCCCAGAAAAGAGATGTTAGCAAAATGGATCAAAATTACAAACCTGTATATTAAATGTATAAGAATGTTAAAAGGCAACTTGTCAAAGGGTGAATTTTTTTCAGCTACTTATGGGGGGGGACTTCGGGTAGAAGAAAGTAAACAAAAGTAATGGAAATCAAATCTTCAAGATTATTAGCTATAAATGGTGGAAGAAGAGTTCTCTAAAGGTATTTCAAAGACAAGATTCATTCTCTACAATAAATGGAAAGAAGTTGTGCTTTACAAAGATGAAATATATAGAAGAAAACCATATTCTGAGGGAGAAAACACCCCATTCCTAAAAGAAAGCTGCTTTGCGGGGTGGGGGGTGGGGTTTAATTCTGCGCTTTCAACCTGAGGGTTTTCCTGAAACAATCAGGTACCAATGCAGGCTGATGTAATCAGATTGTCTATCCAAATTAGAGAGTGGCAATCCTTCCTATTACATGTTCTCTTGTTTTCTGTGAATGGCTATGCAATTATCCTGATACGGCAGTTTGAACATTGTATTTTAGTTTTTAAAAGAAATTACAAAAACCTTTGGCATGACACATTCATTGTATGTTTGGTTTTATTCTGTATTTTAGTTTTTGCTGTAATCATAAAGCTTTTGTGTCTTTGAAGAGAAAGCTGTTAAACAGAGAGCTGAAGTCCCAGCACTGTAAATACCATCTATCCTTGCCATCTCTCCCAGCAGCTGGGATACCTGTCGTCGGACAGGCAGCATTCCTCACAATCACAGCACTAAAAGAAGATGCTAAAAGTGAAGATGACTGTATATAGGAAAGTGTATGGCAGAAGGGAAATGAGCTATCTGCCAAACGGGAAGAAATTATTTGATTTGCTTGTTGGGTCAGTACCAAGGGATAGCATCTCGAGCTGGAGTTCCGGTGAATAACACAGAGGTTCCTCTGTAAATCAAGTGACTGCTACAGATAGACAGTTATTCATTTCTGCTTTGGTTTGCATGTTTGTCTTCTGGCAAGGCATATGGCTCAATACTAAATAGTGATATTTCATCTTCCTCTTTTGTTTCTTCTTGTACTGCAGGCTAGTGATTATGCTCTTGTCTTATGAGTCATGTGGAGAAACGTGGAAAAGGGCAGAGATCTAGGAGAGTGGTTAGAGGCATAGTCTCCAGTTTAAATGTGAAAATATTTTCCCTCTGAGCAAATGAGGAGGAGAGACTACTTCTCTCCTGGGGGGAAAGGGCATGCTGATGAGCAGAGATAGATTCCTGCAGCCAAGTGCGAACAGATAATAATCTCCTCAGTTTGGACCTGTCACTAAGTAAAAGAGAATGTGATCTCCTCTAATGCCACCAGGGCACCTTACTTACGAAATGTATATTTCCCACTCCCTGAAATGAGGGTTTTTGTCATTTTAATGAGGACACCAAGTCTTTACTTTCACAGACTTAATATTAATTGGGCCCATTTCTGAAGTTGGAGTTCTTTGTACATTGCCAGAACGTTGAAAAGTTCAATACTACCTTTTAATAATATGTTTGAGTAGGTGAATCCATCAGTCCTGATACTAAAGAGCATAGTACAGTGAATTTATTCATATCTTGCCGTCATTAGTTCTCAGCTGCTCCGTTTTGACTATTTCCTATGTGGGAAAAACATTTCTCTTTATGGGGATGGCTCCTCAGATCTGAAGGCTGCCAGTTCATCATGGCAATATGAAAGTACGAAGGTAGCTGTGAATGCCTCTTTTTAGAGAAGCTACTCAGAGCAAAATCCCAGATATGTTTTTCTATGACAAAAGATCTAAAAGGATTTTGTGCCATTAAAAAATTAATGCCTAAGTTTCTTCGGTGGTACAAAGAAAACAAAATTTTTTTTTTAAAGATTTTATTTATTTATTTGACAGAGAGAGACAGCGAGAG